ATGCAGCCCCACAGAAGGATACTGCCACCACCATGTTTCACTGTTGGCACCATGTATTTTTCTTTGTACTCATCACCTTTGCAACGCCATACAGTTTTGAAGCCATCAGTTCCAAAAACATTTATCTTGTTATCACTCCAGAGTACAGAGTCCTAGTAGTCTTCTTCTTTTTCAGCATGGGCTCTGGCAAATTCTAGACGGGCTTTTTTTTGCATGGGCTTTAGGAGAGGCTTACTTCATGGATGACACCCAGGCATCCCATTCCTCTGCAGTGTGTACTGTATTGTGTCATGGAAAACAATCACCCCAGTTTGGCTTTCTACTTCTTCAGCTAACTGCAGTGAACTTGCATGGAAATTTTTTTCACCCTTCTCATCAGCAGATGCTCCTGTCAAGGTGTTAATTTCTGTGGATGTCTCTGTGAAATGGTTGCAGTTCCATCTTTGTTAAATTTCTGTATCACTTTTGCTACAGTATTCTGACTGATAAGTACAGCTTTGCTGATCTTCTTGTAGCCTTCACCTTTCTGGTGTAAACAAATTATTTTCTTCTCAGGCCTTGTGACATTTCTCTTCCATGAGGTGCCATTGCTGATAGCATGAAATGGGAAGTAATGCCCTTTTATAATCAGCTGTCTGCTGGACACCTGTTTAATGAATAATTAGACTCACCTGTAGTTGAATTCTTGTTAATTAGGATTTTGCTGTCTAAGACTTTCATTTTTGCAACATGGTCTAGAATTAATTTGTTAAGAAAAATGCTATTTTGTGTGTGCAAATTCACAAATTGTGTTTGCAATCCATGGCCCACATTTGTGGAAGTATTTTGTAGTGTAGTTTCCCATAGAAATGTTGATTCTGAAAGGAAAATAAAGGTTTTCTGACAAATCTGTTGAGGTGTACCCATTTAAGCTGAGCACTGTATGTAGTGAATGTTTTGGCACAAAAACATGTCAGTCTGCAGACTTTTAACAGCAAATTGTCAGAGACTGCAGGCATGCTACAAGAAATGATCAAAGATGGTGAACATGGGTCAGGAGTTGGAAATGGAGAACATGCTTGAGGAGACAGTCGTAGCCTGGAGAGATGTAACATGAGACTGCCAGAGATCACTGCTATTGTACCTCCCTTACAAATCAATGTTTCCAATCAGTGCTTCCTACAACATCATTAAAAAATTACTTGAAGTCAAATTTGATATTTTTTCTCAACAAGATCCAATATACAAGATCCAAGGAAAAAACACAAAGAAAAAAGGGATTGCTAGCATGCGGTTAGGTGCAGAGTGGTGCATTGGCAGTAAAGACAGAGAATCCGAATGAAAGAAACATAGAACTTGTATTGAAGAGAATACCAAATTACAAACACCCCAAGTGGGAGAGCACCACTTGGGGCAGGGGTGCTAAACCTTTTGAAGAGCTAGGATCACTGAAGTGAGTTGGTAACCAGTCGTGGACAACAATGAAATGGTTAAAAATTTTATATTTTTTATTTTGAATAGCATAATGAACATTTTCCTCCTGCAGCCTTTGAATGCTGGTGGGAGGGAGAGGAGGAGAAATTGGCTTTCAGCAGTTGCAGAAGGAAAATGAAGAGTATTGGTTCCAGTACATGCTGCCCCTCTTGTCCAAGTGTAAAACAGAATGTGACAGGGAGGCCACATGGGCCCCCTGGAGCATGGGGTGGGGTTGCCATTGCAACCCCTGATGCTACACCAGTGGTTGGGGGGTTTGGTAAAAACATATCTCATCTATGGTGTTTTATTGCTCCCCAAACCGCAAATGTAAACACACCTTTACTGTCCTGAGCCCCCTATAAGGGTGCTTTAACACTGATGCACTGCGATTTACCCGCTTTCCTGCTGGTTAGCTGCACTTTGCCATAGACTTTTATTATCTTGTGGGTGTGGTGCACTTTCTGAAAGCACACCAAGCCAACAGGATATAATAGAAGTCTATGGCTCAGTGCAGCTGACCCACAGGAAAGCGATAGGTGCATTGCACTGCACCCGCAGATCACTGTGAAAGAAGCCTAATAGTTGTAACCCTTTACAGGTGCTTATATGCCTATTACAATGTATGTGTTTAATACACTGGCCATATTTTCCTCTTCCAACTTGGTATCACTCCACCTGGGACAGGAGCCAATGCTACAGAGGAAGCATTGTCTTATGTGGTTCCAGCTCTCTCCACAGCAACCTCCGCTGCCTGCGCCAGCTTGATGCATTCTGATGCTCTGGGATGGAGAGTCAAGATCATGATCAACGTGTTGCTAACCCCCGGGCATGTGCTTCCCTGGTTTGAGGTTGAGGACTACATCAGAGTGCTCTGAGGGCCACAGATTGAATGCCCCTTAGGAAAATACTCACAGTTCTGTTCAAATGCAGCAAGAGGCAGTATGCCAACAGGGTCTGTTTCAGAGGGCTGAGTGCTGCCGGTCCAAGTCCCAATGGGGAGGTTTCCTTGAAGGATAGCAGAGCCCTATTGTGTCCCTTCTCATTTGGAACTGGATCTCCTTGCTGCTAATCACTTTCCCTCACAGACGTGGTCTCTCTCCCTACACTACCTGCTTTGCAAAAGTGTGCCAAAACCCAGGGGCAGGGATCTATAATGGCTATTCTGACTCTAGATGGCCGCCAGGGGTAACCCGAGTGCAGCATAGTCAACTGGAAAGCTGCTTCTAAGATCCAGGAAACAATAGAGAAACCCTGTTTCCCCTGACTTCCTCTCCACTTGTGGTGCCACTCAGGATGAGCACCACCACCTACAGTAGATAACACAGATCGCACATGCCTACAAGCACATAAAAGTAAGAATAATTATTTAAGTACTAAAAGCATAGAAACCATAAAATAAATATCAACATTATTCTGGTGGCAATTGTTTAAAAATTTATTCTGAATGTCACAATTATAATAAATAGGTGGATTTTCACATACAATGACCAGTAATAAGCGGTTTCTGAAAGAAACAAATTTTGGATTGCCCTTGCTGACAGCTCAGTGTGACACGGGTCCATGGCAAGCATTCTCTTTTCTACATTTTTTCTCTCATAAGAAACAACTTGGCAGTGGGTACATTTTGAGAAGGATCAGCCTATTCACTGATATTTACTTGAATTGAGGATATCTGCATTAGAACTGGTGACCTGATAATTTTTATTTTACAGTTTTCACATAGCAAAGTTGTTGGATTGCCCTATACATGTGTATATTTTTTGTGGTTTTTACCTTTTCAGTACAAGGTGTGACAGTGTGGCGATCTGTCACCCAGGATTCTCAACAAGGCAGGTTGAGGGGCTCCAGGGTAAGTGTTTGATACAAAGGAAAGTGGCTTTTCACGTTCCTCCTTTGTTTGTAAGGTCCATTTTGGGATCTGGAGCCTGGAGATTTCAAAGCGATTTGGGAGGGATGAAATCTCCAATCCTGGGACCAGGTTTTGGGAATGGCCAGAGACTGATTGCACAGGTGTGTGCAGGCCTTTTCATAGAGTCAGGACCAGGGTTCTGGGCTCCACCCTGGCAGACAGGAGTCAGGAGGGCTCCACCTGGAAGACAGGAGTCAGGAGGGCTCCACCAAGGAGAGGTGGAAGCCAAAAGCGGCAAGGAGCTGCTTGGGAGTAGCTGTGTGCTAGTGGCTAGCTGTGTGCGAGAGCCATTTTTGAAAGAGTCTGCAGGAGACAGACGTAAGCCTGAAGAGGAAGGCCAGTGGAAGATTGTGTATACCTGAGAGAGCCAGGAGGCTGAATTTTGTTTATGTGGATGATAGATACCCCTGTGTGGGAAACTTCTGATGTTTTGAACTTTCATTTAAATAAAATTGGGCAAAAAAGGCCCTTAAAGAAGCGAGTCGCTGTGTGCTTTAAATGGAAAGCTCTACCACTTTGAAGCGAGTTCCCACAAAGGGTACCAGCCATCAGACAAAGAAGTAAAAGTACAGTATCTGAAATCATGTAGTATATTGCAGCTTACCAGTCTTTAGTTATGGTGGCTGCAATTTGCGTTCATATTTTTATAAGTATATCTTTTCCAAGCACAGAAAAAGATCTTTTGATTCTGCCAGAAAGTGTCCTTGTAACTTCCTGTTCACTGTACTCTCAGACAATGTTATCATTCTTTCCACTTATCTTCTGTGAAAACACCCCCCCCATGTTATGAAGAGGAGGAGACTACTGTATTGAAATGCCAAGAGTAAGCATTGTCACCCCAAGGACAGGATGTGTTACTGGCAGGACTCCACGATGGGAATAGGGAAAAAAAGGCTTAAAAAAATGAATCTCACTTCCACATCAGGCGGACTAGTAAGCGGAAACATATTACATTTTCATTCTTGGGTATAGATACAGTACACTTTAAAGCGGTAATAAACCACAATAAAATGGGTCTTCCCCGCAGGCTCATGTCAGAATGTGCTAGTATGCACAGACTTGTGTCACCGGTGACAGGGAATCCATCTTCGCCCGGTCTTCCTTTCGGTTTTATGGGCTCCAGCAATTTGCATTTGCAATGTGGGAGTCACGGCCGCGACACAGTTATTATTATACCAGATTTATATAGCGCCAACAGTTTGCTCAGAGCTTTACAATTTACAATGTAACAGTAGACAATACAGAAACAATATAGTTCAATACTAGAGGGTTAGGAGGGCCCTGATCCTGGGAGCTTACAATCTAAGAGTTCTCTCAATGGACAGCATGCTGTCCATTGAGAGCACAGTGTGCATGCGCCAGGGATGTCACCGGCTGCTACACACAGTAATAGCGGTGCACGTTTAGGAGATATTTACTGTACCTACAGGTAAGCCTTATTATAGGGTTACCTGTAGAAACAATGTAAACATGAGATAGTACTATAAAGACAGTCTAGTGCATCGTGTGGATTGCATTACATTATATGTTTAGTACACGTAGTAATTTACTTGCCAATCAAATGTCACGGGGGTTTTATAATGTCATAAGATGCTTATGTTTACTAATAAAACAGATATTTAATTTCTTCACTTAGGGAACTGCAAGTGAAGCAACACTAATGGCTCTCCTTGCTGCAAGGACCAAAGTTGCCAAACGACTTCAGAAGGAAAACCCCGACTTAAGTGAAGCAGAGATCATTGGTCGCATGGTGGCCTATTCTTCAGACCAGGTTTGTTTAAGCTTTCTTATGATACAACCACTTTGAATTTTTTTTTTTAACTTGTTCATCTTTAATTTGTAGTGTACACATTTGAACATTGTAAATATATATATATATATATATATATATATATATATATATATATATATATAGTGTGTGTGTGTGTGTGTGTATATGTGTGTATATATATATATATATATATATATATATATATATATATAGAAACCATAAAATAAATATCAACATTATTATTATATGTGTATCATTTTGATCCAGGTCATTACCTCATTCTTCCATATCTTGATTCAATAGTCTAATGAGCATCTCAGCTGCTGTCAGAAATGGACTCAGCACTGGTGGTGGGACTCACCTGCCGTGTGGGCTGCAGTACCAGGGCTGACCAGCGGGTGCTCTCAGCAGCCAGAAGCTCACTTCTGCAGTCAGCCAACACCTGGGGCTGATTACAGGAGGTGTATTTAAGGAATGACTAGGCCTGTGATCAGGGCCTTGGTGTAATGTTTCCCATGAGCCCCTGTACCTGGTATCCTGTGTTCCTGCCTCGTTGCTGACCCTGCTTTGATCCTGACCTCTGCTGACCGTCTCCTGTTGAACCCCTGGCTTGCCTGACCATCCTTCTGCCTGATCCTCGGTACCGCGCTGCCCGCTACCTGCTGAACCTGGCTTGTGACCCCCGACCATTCTCTGCTTGCTCCTCCTGTACCACGCTGCCTGCACGATACCTACCCGGCCTGTCTGACTACACCTACTTCACCCGACGATCCATCCATCCCACACGGATCACCTTTGGTAAGTCTGCCTGCCTCTTCCCATCAGACTCCGTTCCTGCACTCCCCTGCCAGTACTCTCTACCACAGCCGGACGCACTCAGGGGTCGCGACCTGGTTCCAGTCTGCACCAAGTCCATCCCCACCATCAGGGGCCCTGGTGAATAGCAGCCCTGAGGAAATTCGTGCTGTGGGCTGCTAGAGACACTGCCAGGTGGCACCTGACAGTACCTTACGGCCTGCCTGACCATTCCACCTCTCCAGCCTGACTACGCCTGTGCTCTTGAAGCCTGCTACTTCCCTGTGTCAGTCCACACACATTTCTGGTCATACCCGGATCCCTAACAGCTGCTGCTTATGTTGTATGAGAAACAAACATACTCTTAATCTGTAATCCTTATGGCTGACAGCTTAATGGTTTCTCATTCATAGTATGAGGTACATCTGGTTTCAAAACATGGTGATATTAAATTTAATATTTCTGTAAAGTCTATACTGGACCTGAGCCAGGAGAATTTATTCATGATTACTTTCAAACTAAATTCCAACTTTTAACCCAGCATAGATTCCTCGTCAGCAGTGACTGTCCTGAAAGAAGAAATCACTACTACATTGACATATATTGTTATTGAGCAAACCCTCTGAGGCCATTGACTTTGTGGAGCACTGCATCAGTGGAGTCTTCTTATGTCTTCTTCCCTCCTCACTGGCCTACCCCAGTGCAGGCTCTCCCCGCTTCAGACCATCCTGAACTCAGCGGCTAGACTCATCCACCTCACCAACCGCTCCACCTCTGCCACCCCCCTCTACCTATCCCTCCACTGGCTCCCTATTGCCCAACGCATCAAATTCAAACTACTCACTCTGACCTACAAAGCCATTCACAACACTGCCCCTAACTACCTCACCAACCTGATTCCCAGGTACCACCCTACCCATACCCTTCGCTCTTCACAGGACCTCCTTCTATCTTGCTCCCTGGTCTCCTCCTCCCACGCAAGACTGCAAGACTTCTCCAGGTCCTCCCCCATCCTCTGGAAATCACTACCCCAATCCATCAGACTGTCACCATCACTCCTCACCTTCAGGCGCTCCTGAAAACCCACCTCTTCAGGGAAGCCTACCCCACCCTCACCTAACAGCCGTTCTCCTTCATTCCTCCTACCACTCCCATCCCCCACAGCCACTTCCTCCTGTACCACTACCCCCTTCCTCCTAGATTGTAAGCTCGAAAGAGTAGGGCCCTCTAACCCCTCGTGTGCTGTTTGTAGTTGCTGTAATGTTTCATGTATTGTCCCCCCCCTCTATTGTACAGCGCTGAGCAAACCCTTTGGCGATATATAAACCCGATGTAATAATAATAATGCCTTATCTCAGGGTTTGCTTCAATAGCTCTTGGAATCTTGTATACTGTTGGGAAGCTGTTTGGTGTCTACAAAGAAAAAAGAAAACACTCCCTGTAGAAGAAGAGATAGAAGACTTTGAAAAGACATGGGAGCCACTCATTGTATAACAGGATGCCCAGTTAGTATCTTGTGTACCAGTCCAGGTATACAGTTGTCAGGGCTCCCGGGTATGACCAGAGGTGTGTGACTGATGCAGGGAAACGCAGACTTCAGATATATTATAAACAATATAATTTATTAACACTAACAATACAAACATAAACGCAGTGCAATACTAAAACATAACACAGTGCAAACAAACCAAACCAACCACCCACAGATAACAGTACATACAATGCAAGCGTCGTCAGGCAGGCCGGGTCAAATATCAATCGGGCAGGTAGGTACAGGGGGAGCAAGCGGAGAATGGTCGGGGTCACAAGCCAGGTTCAACAGGTAGCAGACAGCGAGGTACAGAGGGTCAGGCAGAGGGATGGTCAGGAACGAGCCGGGGTCAGAGCAGGAGAAGTCAGCAGAGATCAGATCAGGCAGGGTCAGCGACAGGAACAGGGACAGGGACAGGATGCAGGAACAGGAACAGGATGCAAGATACAGGGCCCAGGAAAACACATACACCAAGGCAGAGTCTGCAGGTCTGGCCATCCCTTAAATACACCAGCATAAGCAGTTTTCAGGTGTTTTGCTGGCTGCAAGTTTGAGTCTCTGATTGCTGGGAGCACCCGCTGGCCAGCCCTGGTACTGCAGCTCATAAGGCAGGTGATACCCACCATTGCTGGCCAGTCCATTCCTGACAGTACCCCCCCTCAAGGAGCGGCCTCAGGACGCTCCAAACAGTCCTAGCTGGGCAAAATGTTTTCCACTGCCCGGGTCTGGTAACTGGCGGGATATCAAAGACTGGCCCACCGGGCAGGACTCCGGGCAGCCGCACACCGGGCAGGACTCCGGGCTGCGGCACATCGGGCAGATCTCCGGGCAGAGGCACATCGGGCTGGACTCCGGGCAGAGGCACATCGGGCTGGACTCCGGGCAGAGGCACATCGGGCTGGACTCCGGGCAGAGGCACATCGGGCAGGACTCCGGGCAGAGGCACATCGGACCACCAGGCGACGCAGCAGGCAGCGGGCCACCAGGCGGAGCAGCAGGCACCGGGCCACCAGGCGGAGCAGCAGGCACCGGGCCACCAGACGGAGCAGCAGGCACCGGGCCCCCAGGTGGAGCAGCAGGCCCCCGGGCCCCCAGGCGGGGCGAACAGGCATCGGGCCCCCAGGCGGGGCGACAGGCATCGGGCCCCCAGGCGGGGCGACAGGCATTGGGCCCCCAGGCGGAGCGGCGGGCGCTGGGCCCCCAGGCGGGGCGACAGGCATCGGGCCCCCCAGGCGGGGCGACAGGCATCGGGCCCCCAGGTGGGGCAACAGGCATCGGGCCCCCAGGCGGAGCGACAGGTCTCAGGCCCCCAGGCGGAGCGGCGGGCGCCGGACCCCCAGGCGGAGCGACAGGTCTCGGGCCCCCAGGTGGAGCGGCGGGCACCGAGTCACCAGGCACGACAGTGGGCTCCGAGTCAACTGGCAAGACTGCGGGCACCGAGTCGTCTGGCAAGACTGCGGGCACCGAGCCAACTGGCGGAACAGCGGGCTTCGAGTCGTCTGGCAAGACTGCGGGCACCGAGTCGTCTGGCAAGACTGCGTGCACCGAGTCGTCTGGCGGAACAGCGGGCATCGAGTCAACTGGCGGAACAGCGGGCACCGAGTCGTCTGGCAACGACTGCGGGCACCGAGTCGCCTGGCAAGACTGCAGGCACCGAGTCGCCTGGCAAGACTGCGGCACCGAGTCGCCTGGCAAGACTGCGGGCACCGAGTCATCTGGCAAGACTGCGGACACCGAGTCAACTGGCAAACAGCGGGCATCGAGTCGTCTGGCAAGACTGCGGGCACCGAGTCGTCTGGCAAGACTGCGGGCACCGAGTCAACTGGCGGAACAGCGGGCATCGAGTCAACTGGCGGAACAGCGGGCACCAGAGTCGTCTGGCAAGACTGCGGGCACCGAGTCGTCTGGCGGAACTGAGTCAACTGGCGGAACAGCGTCTGGCAAGACTCGAGTCAAGACTGGGGGACCGAGTCAACTGGGAACAGCGGGCATCGAGTCAACTGGCGGAACAGCGGGCACCGAGTCGTCTGGCAAGACTGCGGGCACCGAGTCGTCTGGCAAGACTGCGGGACACCGAGTCGTCTGGCAAGACTGCGGACACCGAGTCGTCTGGCAAGACTGCGGGACACCGAGTCGTCTGGCAAGACTGCGGACACCGAGTCGTCTGGCAAGACTGCGGACACCGAGTCATCTGGCAAGACTGCGGACACCGAGTCGTCTGCAACAGCGGGCATCGAGTCAACTGGCGGAACAGCGGGCACCGAGTCGTCTGGCAAGACTGCGGGCACCGAGTCGCCTGGCAAGACTGCGGGCACCGAGTCGCCTGGCACAGACTGGGGCACCGAGTCGCCTGGCAAGACTGCGGGCACCGAGTCGTCTGGCAAGACTGCGGGCACCGAGTCAACTGGCGGAACAGCGGGCATCGAGTCAACTGGCGGAACAGCGGGCACCAAGTCGTCTGGCAAGACTGCGGGCACCGAGTCTGGCGGAACAGCGGGCATCGAGTCAACTGGCGGAACGGGGCACCGAGTCGTCTGGCAAGACTGCGGGCACCGAGTCGTCTGGAAAGACTGCGGGCACCGAGTCGGAACAGCGGGCATCGAGTCAACTGGCGGAACAGCGGGCACCGAGTCGTCTGGCAAGGCTGGGGCACCGAGTCGCCTGGCAAGACTGC